ATATTTGTCAGATAACTTTGGAAGGAAAGGTATACCCATTTTACAGTGCATAAAGGTGTCTCTTTTTCATAACAAAGTTCAATTTTCTTTTCTCTTGTAGGCTTTGAGATTTCTGAAAACCAGAAGAGGCAGGCTGCAATGACTGTGAGAAAAGCTTCTAAACAGAAAGGTATACTTGCCTTTGCTCCTTCAGAGCCACTCCCTGTCTGTTTGAGATTAGGAAACCATAGATTATATGTTTGCACATTCCTTGGCTCCTTTCCATACTGACATTTACTTGGGATAGTGTCCAGCTACCCAGGTATCTTTGACAACAGGTAACAAATGCTCTTAATGTTTTAATGCTTGGGACTAAATGGTGTGGGGTAGTCATAGCCATGTCTTTGGCTACATTAACAAAACAAAATCATTGTCTTTGTTTTTACTTGAAAAGAAGAAAACCTTTGTGAATAATTTAGAGAGAGGCAGGAGGTAGTGCATGTATTTAAGTTATTGAATAAACATAAATATACAGGGATATGTTTTCAACTTCCTTTCAGTTGTCTAGAATTGCTGACCTAGTCAGTAGCCCCAACCTAACGTGAAGCGCCTCATATTGAAACAAAATAGTTTCTCTCTGAGGCGTACACTGAAAATACCTTTGAAAATTTAAAATACAAGCAGAATCAACTTAAAGACGAAACAGCTTTTCTTTTCTTTTTTCATGAACCAGAACAAAACTAACGTGCTCAGTTGAGCCAAAAGAAGGAGCTACCTTCCACTTACTAGAGTGTCTACTTAGTTTTAAATTTCTTAATTTCTTTCATTTCATCCTTATAGTAACCCAAAGAAAATGGCACTAGTAGTCCCTGGTCCAGGTTAAGAAACTGAAAACATTCCAGGTAAAGTGATTTTTTAACCTAAGTCATCTTGATTCTGAGCCCACTGCTCTCTCCTCTTCATCTCAGGGTCCTGACGATGATGATGCATACCTCTTGTTTGCAAGAAGAGCTCATTTTATTGTCTCATCTCAATCACTGACAGCTGTTTTGACTCCTGGCAGTATTTTCACTGTTCCCAGGATTGGATGATCTTAACGAGACATCACTTTCCCCAGCCCTTTCCTTCTGCTCTCTCATTAGCGCTCATTAGTTCTGAAGGAATTCTAGAAATAGTGGAGGGGAAAACTGATTGCAAGGCTCTAGGGCAAATATTATTAGATAAGAAATTACTCTAGTGTCCCCTCCCTGTGCTATTTGTACATCACAGGATATTATCAACCATCTATTTTTCCGAGGGAAAGGTTATCTGGTTGATAGAAAGACCTTTTCAGTTTCCTTTTTTTAATGTTCTGCTGTCTTGGTTTTCAGAATTTGTATAGAACTTCTTGGGGTTAAGTGCTAATTCCTAAACATCAATGGAATTGAGTTTATCAATACAGAAGATGTCAGAATCATGAACACAACCTCTATCTTCATAGGCTTTAGGACCAGTTAAAAATCTGATTAATAATCTAGCATAACTAAAACAATCTTGAAAAGTAAGAATAAAATTTAATTAATTTATCTAATTTCAACACTCATTGTATAGGTACATCACCTGAGGGATTATTGATAGTTGAATGGGAAAGAAGTCTGAAATAGACCTACACACATAAGTCTGGCTTACTTTTGACAAGGACAGATGAGCAAGTCAGCAAAAAGAAAAAAAATTGTAACCTTTTCAACAAATAGTACTGAATTTGATTTCCATACCCAAAATAGAACTTTGATATAAGCCCACACCTAGTATAATAATTAAGTAGAAATTCACTGTGAAACTAAATATCAAACTATAGAGCCCTAAGAAAAAATGTAAAAAAAATAGTTAGGATCTAACGTAAAACAAAGGAGTTCATAGATTTGACATCAAAAGCTTGAAACAGAAGATGGAAAATAGAACTTGAGAAAGTAGGACTTCTTCCCTGGCATCTCTGTATTGTTTGTTGGCATACCATTTTATTTCTGGTACTTGCCACCTTTTAAAAATGGCTTCAGACACAAGCAAGGAACTCAGGACCACGAGGGGTGCACCCACACACTGAGACAATGGGATGTTCTATCAGGAACTCACCAAGGCCAGCTGGCCTGGGTCTGAAAAAGCCTGGGTTAAAACAGGTCTCACTGAACATAGCGGACAATGAGGACTACTGAGACCTCAAGAACAATGGCAATGGGTTTTTGATCCTACTGCACGTATTGGCTTTGTGGGAGCCTAGGCAGTTTGGATGCTCACCTTACTAGACCTGGATGGAGGTGGGTGGTCCTCGGACTTCCCACAGGGCAACGAACCCTGAGTGTTCTTTGGGCTGACGAGGGAGGGGGACTTGGTTGGAGGAGGGGGGGGAAATGGGAGGCAGTGGTGGGGAAGAGACAGAAATCTTAAATAAATAAATAAATAAATAAATAAATAAATAAATAAATAAATAAATGAAAATGGCTCCAGAACCTAACATGTGTCAATAGTTGACAATGGATTATCATTATAACTACTGTCAGGGTAGTTGGATTCCTTGAAACTTCCATTAATGTGAACTTTGTGGGGTGGTTGCAACTTCCCCCATTGAAGCTGTGTTCTGTAAAAGGTCACAGATTTCATTTTTCTTTTATTTCTATGAATCATGGCTTCTGATGATGAATTTCCCTTCTGCTTCAACTACTAATGTCAAGTTTCTATTAAATAGAGGTTTGTCATTGTCAACCCAAATCAAAACACTAAATCACTTGTGTCTTAAGCATTATGGAAAGTCCTGAAGTCAGTAGTTCTTAGCTAGGTTATTTTTGACACTTTCAGGGAGTATTGCAGAGGAAGAGAACTAAAGTCTAGAGATAAAAGGTGCTTATTGGGTTCTTCAGAGGAACAAGACTTAAATTGGGGATTATGGTCTCCTAGAAAGAATCCCTAACCAAGAAGTCAACAAAAGTTGGTTCTGGTTCTTGCTTTGTTTCTAGACGACCATGAGAACTTATGTATAATATTTCTCTCTGGTCCTTCGTTTTCTTGTCTATTAAATAAGTGATGATAACACTCCATATTTTTTTTTGGTGTTACCCGATAATATGGTGAAGGATGTGTTGTTGTAGAACTAGAGATACTACTGCAAATATGCTAGGGAAAGAAATAATTTGCACTACTGGTTGATTATCCTTTACCCAAAATGCTTGGGACCCAAAGTACCTCAGATTATAAAGTTTTTTTTAAATTTTGGAATGTTTGCATAGACATGTATTGATCGGATAGCTTTAATGTGGAAATCTTTAAAGGTTCAAAATATGAAACTGTTTGATTGCTGGCAAGTTTTGGGTTTCAGAGTATTTCAGTCTTGGGAGTTAGGGATATTGTATGTCACCAGGTAAAACTCTCAAAACTAGTATAGTGTGAGGGGTCATTGATTAATTTGAGAATGTACCTCGTACTAAATGCATACTCTTTCCTTTTCATCTCCTGTGTGTTCTAGGTGTCAACTCTGCCCGCTCAGTTCCTCCTTCTTACCCACCACCACAGGACCCGTTAAACCAGGGTCAGTACCTGGTTCCCGATGGCATCGCACAGTCTCAAGTCTTTGAGTTTGCTGAACCGAAGCGCAGTCAGTCACCATTCTGGCAAAACTTCAGTAGGTTAACCCCCTTCAAAAAATAATAGCTGTAGGAAGGCAGATAATTTTAAAATAAATAAAATTATATTTATAGATGGACCTTTTTTCGGAGAAGCACTGTTGAAAATTTATATATATATGTGTGTGTGTGTATGTGTGTGTGTGTGCATGTGTGTGTGTGTAGCACACACACTTACACACATAGACCTTTAAGTATTCATGTGTGTGTGGGCATGTGTGCACATATGCATGCACACATACATACATATACACACACAGAGAAGGACCAAAACCATTTTCTGTTGTTTTGGGAAATTGAAATCTGTAGTTGGTAAGAAGTACCACTGACTTCCAAACATGTGATCACTTCTTAAAATTTTTAGTTCTTAACCTTGTTCTCCTCCCCCTTTCTTTCAGAAATTGAATTTCTCTTTGTTCTTTTTCCTGTTAAGGTAACCTATTTGCTCCACTGGTTCACTGACCTGTCATTACTACCATAGAGTATTTGCATTGTTTTATTTCCCTTTCCTGAGGATACTGATGCTGATAACTTTTGCATTTAATTTATGTGGTGGATTTGGAATTTTATTTCTTACTCTGTCACTTTCCACGGAGAAGGGGAAGATTCCCATCTCCTGTCCCTCATGCAACCATATGCAAATGTTCCTGTAGCCCTGCGGTTATAATAACCAACAGCCTTTTCCCAGCATCCTGTGTCCACAGTTGTGCCAGTCTAGACATGCTCTGTTGTGCCCTGTGACTTATCTGCTTGGTATTTCTATTGCTTTCACTGTTTTAGGTATTGTGGAAGGATATAAAACCAAACAGAAATTAAGGAATAGAAGAATGTAATGAGCGTAGAGAAAGCTTCTGTTGGGGGGGGGGGGATATTTTTTATTTAGATGATTTCTTCTAGCACTGAGGATCCCCATGTAACAGCACTGCTAAGTCACTGAATGTTTTCATCTAAGGGTTATTTTGGACCCATTAGTCTCCTTTTAAAGCACCCTTTATTATGAGCCTCCTGTTCAGCCTGTCTTTTCCCTAGGTGGAAGGTTTAGCTAAACTGGAAGCCATGAAATTGAGACTCCTGGGGAAGAGATTTATCTCCATCCCCACAACACATAACTAATAGGTAGGTGGCAGGTGGGCCACTCTATATAGCAGTCATTTTAATGTTCTGGTCATCCCTGCTTCTATTTTTTCAGATTCTTAAGGCATCACAGTTAGAAGCTTATGAAGGGGTTCGAGACAAAATCTGCTTGACCAAGATCATTAGTTACCTTCAGATTAACCTGAAAAAGAGTTCAAGATTGATGATAACTTCATACAGGGAAAGATGGGGGACTATCAGGGAAAGAGACAGGCTTGATTCAAGATAATATACCTGTAATTACTACCGCGTAAATTATGAGAAACATTCCCAGTCATTAGCAGATTGCATGGATAATCTCTGTCTCCATTCTTGCCCTTACTCTGTCTTCTTGGTAGAGGATTGTGAGTATTGGCATAATTAAAGCCATTCTGGCACCCGAAGTAGGCCTTGTTGCTGACATACTCCCATCCCAGGACAACTGAGGTAAGTGATAAAGAAGCCTAGGGCTGCTTTACCTCTGCGAAATAAGATCGAGGCCGAACACTGAAGTTAATTCTTAGCAGGCCTTCCATTTGATCAGAGCTTTCCCCACAGAAATCAGAATCCCCATGAGTACAGAAGTATGCATTCTTCCTCGTCATGTAGCCCTTTGTGTGGATAGAGCTTGGATAGTGAGGATAAGATGATATAAAGAAGTGAGAAACCCACCCTAATCCAGGATCTGCAGATTGAGTCTGTCCTGGACCTCACAGGAAGACTTTGTCATGAAGGGGCCTAAGCTTACCAAGCAGCAGCCATAGCTGTATGAGGTCTTCAGTCAAGCTGGACTGGGTACCCCTTTGTGCTTCCTGACCTAGACTAAGCCCTACCCAGCTTGTGAATCCTTCCCCTTTAGAAAACAAATTACGAATTGATGAAGCTTCCATTTAAGTCAGACTTAACAGTTACCAAGGCTAGCTAGCAGGAGACCAGGGCTCGGGACTGGTCAGACATTGGACTGCACATGACAGAGCTACTTAAGCCCCATGGCAAGAAATCTGGTATCTAGCACCTAGATGACAATGTTCTCCCTTGGCAAACTGCAAGAGATTTCACTTCCTGTGCAGGCCTCCCTTAGTGTACCTTCTTTTCCTACTCCCTGCCCATCCTCAGTAGGTTTGGCCTTGGCAACTTTCTCCAGGGATTGGAGGCACCCCACGAGGAGTAGCTTTGAAATGTTGCTAGATCTGTGTTATTTTTGGCCAGACCCTATCATTCTCTTGCCCCTTCTAACATTCAAGGCTACGGGAGCAGGGGAATCACCTCTCATCATCCTGTTTCTCCATCCAGTCCACTGGCCTTGCAAGATGTAGTAATTTGTGAAGGCACTACTAATTCAGCTCTCCTTTGATTTGAATGCCCCACCCTACCCCCCACACTTATGGCTCAAAGTAGATCAGTGGCCAGTAGCCCAAAGGGAAACCCATAAATCACCTGGACTCAATATCTAAACCTGTTGTATCCCCACAGCCTTGTTATCCCCCCCAAAATTCTATAATTCTCCTATTTCTGCATGGTCCTGTATTCCCCTTTCCTTGACACAATGAGGCCTGAATTTTCTTTCCAAAAGGGTTTGGCCAGTTTGTTCTATGAGTTCTACTGCAGGGAGGTCCTAATACAGAAATACAGTTTTTCTCTCCTTCTCTCATCCTCTTTCTATGTGTATATCTTTAATTGATCTATTAAGGACAGCAACAAGAGAGTTCTAACAATTCTAGTATGAAGCCAACTAGTGCTATTTTAGTGCTTGGGGGTGGGCGGGCTGGGTGAATAGATGGGCACCAGTGACTTTGACTACCCCTGCTGCTCTGCATTCGCCAGCTGATTCTTTTCTTCTGTTATCTGACTGTTTGACCCTGTCAAACAAGTGTCAAAATTGTGTATTTGGAAATGTTTAATAACAACAAAAATGATGTTGTAATGACATAAAGCCTTATGAAAATATTTATGGAGTTCAATAAAAGAAGTAAAAAGACTCTCAGGCACAGCTGTGCCATTTGTGTGTGTGTGTGTGTTGTGTAGTGTGTATGTGTGTGGCCAATTGCAAAATAAAGGCAATTTGTGTGGTGTGAAGTTACTTGCTCCAGCTATTGTGAGTTGCTTATGCTGCTATTTCATTTCCCAAGCATTCCATGGGCTATTGGGAAACATTTTCTATCATTTCCGGAAGAGCAGAAGACAAGAACGGAGATCAAACCTGTAGCCATGAGCACTTAAAATGTTTTATAGATAGGACTGTCTTTTATTTTATCTGGTACTTTGCTAAAACCTAAGGGCCCATTTCTAATGTTGCTCATTTTCCTTGTATCTGCAGTTTTAATATCCATCCTGGGTATTTGTAGCAGCTCAACTTTTCATTTTTAATGTAGCCAAAGGCTGTAACACTTAGAAATCTCCCACTCCAGATTCCTTCTTAAAACTTGTGAGCGTATCTCCTTAAAAATAGACTTTCTTTAATTGTCCTTGCGTGGGTATAGGGATCTCACTATTTCCTTTGTTATTTATTGCCTGTGTGTACATATACTTTGTTTCCTACTAGGCCTGCACATAACACGTATTGTTGCCTGTCAGAGTCCACATGAGTAAGAATGTCTCACAGCCTTGCTCCAGAGTGATAGGACACTTAAGTTAGTAAGATTTTTATTTACTGAAAGGCTCTAGGCAATTTCTCAAAAATATCTCAAGCTTGAACTCTATTCGTGAGGCCTAGGAAGTACCCTCCTACACTTAACCATTTTAAAAGTGATAATTCAAAATTCCTTTTCTAACTTGCTTTTGTCCATATCTTTTGTCTTCTCTTTTATCCCCTTCTACTGTCACTACCCTGTCCCTTTTACCTGGGTCCTTCAACTCTGTCTATCCAAATCACCAAGATTTTGCCATTCTTTTTTCTGTATGACCAATTCCCAGCTTCCCCGGATTCCAGGATTAAATTGTAATTACTTTTGACAGAGTAAGTGGGCAATATCTGGTTTCAGTCTTCCTAGACTACCTTCTCAGAGCTTTAGAAGTGGGAAAACAAACAACAATGGGTTTATTAACCTGGATTTGACAGGTGAAGACAGAGGCTAAAAGTGACTGGCTAGGACTATGTACCCTCTGAAATTTCCTTGCCTCCCCTGAAACTGATTTAAGAGTCTCTTGTCTTAAGTTTTTGGTGGCTCAAGGGAAGGCAAGAATGTGGAATAAATCAACAAGTATATGAATATTATTCTGTGCAGTCATTAGTAGACCCATCTCTTAAATTTTTCATTACAAACAAAACCATCCACAGTTTGCAGATATTTTTGTCTCCAGAACCAAGAACTAGTGGGCAGAGAGCCAAGGTCTCCAGGGTGGACTTTGCTTTTCGTCACTCACTGTTTCAGTTATGCCACCGCTTTGCTTCTTAGCCCACTGGCTTTTGGACCATTAGGGCTTTCCTTATTCATATTCACCTACTCCCTGGCTCCCAGAGACATCTTCCTGACAAGGCTGTGGTACTTTTGAGGTAGATCTTGCTTTACTTGCCAACTCCAAATGTACAAAATAAGAGTGTCCTGTGTTGTGCTCCTTGAAGCCCTATCAACCGCAGAATAATATTTCTGCCTGACTCAATTTATTTATAACACAATTGATCAGACTTAAGAAGCAAACTGTTCTAGTTGTATATCATACTTAGCTCTTGTGACCTTCTCCAGTGGACTATTAGCATCATATAGATAATGGTGTCTCATCTATGTATAAGAAAGCAGAAAGAGGAATTGGCATAGAGTGGTCCCTTGTCTTTAGATGTTACTGCCACATTTACTCTACACCAAAAATTAGAGGCTTCCAAAAAATGTGTCATTTAAGGTAAGTTCCTGTCCCAGGCTACATCTCTCTCTGTAATAGCTATGGATCTCTCCAGTCCTGTCAGAGAGTTACACTATATTCAGTCCACATATCCTAAGTAGGCATTCTGGGACACGGGTTGGTAAGCT